AATACGTGCATGATTAGATTTCAAAAGTAAGAACAAAAGTGACACGCTTAGATTCAGTTTAGAAAACAAATCTTTTGAAATAAAGCGATATGTAAATTGTGCAGAAAATTAAATAATTTAAGACAATGTGAATAATAATAAAAGTGTGAATAAAATTAAAAAAACTTGCTTCAAATCGGAGACTTGAATCTGGTACAGTGCTGGAAAGTAAAGTTAACTTGGAAAGTAAAATGACGTCAAGATTAAACTCATATGCTACGATGCTCCAAACTCGATTACAACAATAGTGCGGTAACCCCTTGATGTGACAGATTACCGCTTTTAATAACTAGATTTATGCCTATGCTGAGAACTAAGATTGAATGACAAAAATGAAAAACTGAGTCCTATTTATAGTGAAACAATGCCTTGAATGTCAATCTGAACCTTCAAGAATTGTGGGAGAGAAAATCTCTAGTCATGGCCTCATTGTCCAACCGTCCTTAACTGGACCACCAAAATCAAAGATGGCACCCGCCATCTAGACATGGCATCCGACATGTGTACAAAACATGAGAGACCTGGTCTAGTGACTATTGGAACGTGGGAGAAACCCTAAACATCATCGCTACCCCCACGGTCAACGCCGTGTGGAACGCCATGTGTGTAATTTTTACCGAAAACTCTGTTTTCTGCTCTTTTCGCTCCATTTCTTTGTGGAAGGATCTTATTAGGCAATGCACCTGAAAACAAAACAAAACACAAGCATAATGCAAGAAAATAACAATTAAGCAACAATAAACATATGCAATCCGAGCCAAATATGCAGTGTGTTTTGGTGTCATCAATAACTGTTCACAATATTAAGATTCTGAGGACATATGGAGGTGGAGAATATGTGTCAAAAGATTTCGACATGCTATGCACAAAAGAAGGAATTGTGCACGAGGTGGTGCCACCATACACTCATCAACAAAATGATATTGCTAAGAGAAAGAAAAAAACCATTATGAATATGGTAAAAAGTGTGTTAAAAGACAAGTATCTCCCAAATGAGTTATGAGGTGAGGCTATGTTAACTGTTACATACATTTTAAAGAGGTGTCCAACAAAGAGGCTTGAAGGTATCATACCAAAAGAATGTTGGTCTGGTGTCAAACCTAGTTTAAGCCATTTTGAGGTATTTTGGTAGCACATAGACATGTGTCATATCAGTTAAGAAGATAGATGGATGATAAGTCAAGTCAGATGATCCTGGTGGGATATTATTCGACTGTTAGATACAAACTATTTGACCCAGTGAACAAGTAAGTTGTGATTAGCAGGGGTATGGTCTTAGATGAGCTTAACGAGTGGGATTGGATTGAGAACATCAAGAAGGATTCGGTGAGAATCTTGTGTGATGAACCATCTAGTGAAGCTGTTAGAGAAGTTTGACAAGAAGCTATCAAAGGTCAAGTTAGCATAAGCAGACCTCAAAGAACCAGAAACATGCCTACAAGACTGCAGAAATATGCAATCACATCAGATGATGTGGTCGATGGTGAAGGTGAGTTAGTATATACACTATGAATTTTATGCAGATACAGAGCCAGTCGATGCAGTTGAAGCATTAAAAGACTCAAGGTGGATGAAAGCTATGATGGATAAGGTAAAATCCATAGAAGACAATGGTACCTAGACACTAGTCAAATTTCCAAAAGGGAATAAGGAAATATATGTGAAGTGGGTATACAAAGTCAAGATGAATCCAAAAGGTGAAGTAACTCAACACAAGGCAAGACTTGTAGCCAAGGGGTATCTTCAGAAAGAATGAATCAAATATGATGAATTCTTTGCACCAGTAGATAGAATGAAAAAAAATCAGGTGGGTTGTTGGTCTAGCGAATATGCATAACTGTTCACAATATTAAGATTCTAAGGACATATGGAGGTGGAGAATATGTGTTGAAAGATTTCTACATGCTATGTACAAAAGAAGGAATTGTGCACGAGGTGGTGCCACCATACACTCATCAACAAAATGATAGTGCTAAAGAAAGAACAAAACCATTATGAATATGGTAAGGAGTATGTTAAAAGGCAAGTTCTCTCAAATTAGCTATGGGGTGAGGCTATGTCAACTGTTACATACATTTTAAATAGATGTCCAACAAAGAGGCTTGAAGGTATCACACCAGAAGAATGTTAGTCTTGTGTAAAACCTAGTTTAAGCCACTTGAAGGTGTTTGGATAGCACATAGACATGTGACATATCAGTTAAGAAGAAAGATAGATGATAGGTCGAGTCAGATGATCCTGGTGGGATATCATTCGACTGTTAGATACAAACTATTCGACCCAGTGAACAAGCAAGTCTTGATCAGCGGGGATATGATCGTAGATGAGCTTAAAGAGTGGGATTGAACTGAGAACGTCAAAAAGGATTAAGTGAGAATCTTGTGTGATTAACCAGCTAGTGAAGTTGTTAGAGAAGTTCGACAAGAAGCTGTCGAAGGTCAAGCTAGCACAAGCAGGCCTCAAAAAACCAGAAACATGCCTGCAAGACTGTAGAAATGTGTAATCGCATTAGATGACATGGTAGATGGTGAGGTGAGTTAGTACACAATGAATTCTATACAGATACAAAGCCAGTCGATGCATTTGAAGCATTAAAAGGCTCAAGGTGGATGAAAGTTATGATGGATGAGATAAAATCCATAAAAGACAATGATACCTAGACACTAGTCAAATTGCCAAAAGGGAATAAGGCGATATATGTGAAGTGGGTATACAAAGTCAAGCTAAATCCAAAAGGTGAAGTAACTCGACACAAGGCAAGACTTGCAGCCAAGGGGTATCTTCAAAAAGAATTAATCAAATATGATGAACTCTTTACACCGGTAGCTAGAATGAAAAAAATTAGGTGGGTTGCTGGTCTAGCCAATATGCATAACTGCTCAATGTGTTAGATGGACGTAAAATGTGCATTTCTAAATGGCCACTAGATAAAGAGGTGTATGTAACACAACCAATTGGGTTTGTGAAAAGGACCAAGAAAGAAAAGCATACAAGTTGCATAAAGCTCTGTATGGACTAAAACAAGCTCCAAGAACTTGGAACTATAAATTAGGCAGCTTTCTAAGAGAGAAGGAGTTTGACAGGTGCACGACAAAGCATGATGTGTATGTCAAGAGAAGCAGGAGTGAGCTGCTTATACCGTGTCTCTATGTCGATGACTTGTTGATAACAGGCAGTTGCAAGAAGGAGATTGAAGATTTCAAATATGACTTAAGTAAGAAGTTTAAAATGTCAGATTTGGGAAATCACTCATACTTCTTTGGTATCGAATTCTGCAAGAGTATTAGGGGCTTCATGATGCACCAAAGAAGATATGCAGGACAAATACTCAAGAGATCGAGATGCAAGGTTGTAACCCAACATCGACTCCAAGTGAGCCCAGATTGCAACTGATAAAAGACTTAACTGAAGATGATGTTGAAGACTCATTGGATCAGTTAGATACCTTTGCCACACAAGACCAGATTTAACCTATTGTGTAGACATGGTCAGTAGATTCATGCAGAAGCCAAAGGTATCCCATCTTGCAGCCACCAAGAGAATACTAAGGTATCTGAACACTCAACTATGATATTTTGTTTCCTTCAGTCGATGAAGGAAAATAATGCAGGCTTGTGGGCTGCATTGAATCTAGTTGGTGTGGTGATGTTGAAGATAAAAAATCGACAATAGGATATGCGTTCATGTTAGGTGGTGCGCCAATCGCTTGGAGTTTAAGAAAGGAACCGATGGTAGCTTTATCATCACATGAGGCAGAATACATAGCAGTTTCACTATGTACATGTCAAGCAACATGGATGATGAATCTAGTCGAAGAAATTATAAGGAAAAATCATGGAGCAATGACCATGAAGATCGAAAACATGCAAGCTATCAACATGGCAAAGAATCCGACTAAACACGGAAGAAGCAAACACATCAAAATGAGGTCACATTACCTGAGAGAGTAGGTAGCGAGTGAAAAGTTGAGTGTGCAACATTGCAAATCAGAGAATCAGATTGCAGATATAATGGCGAAGGCTGCGTAGGTTGAATTATTCAAGAGATTAACAACAATGATGAATGTAGATAGCCTAGACACAATGAATTACGTGGTGTGTAAATATGTAATTTCTTGTGTCAAGCCCTATAGTATTCAACGGGTGTCGAAGGATGTTTTAGTTTTGTCGAATGAGTTAAACTCGACGGAGTTGAAGTTGACTAACTTAGCTTAGTTTTAGTTGAGTTAGTTATTTTGTATTTACTTGGAATGCAAGTAGTCACATTATAAATAAAGAGGAACTCTATTTTATTAAGAGAGAATTATGTAGTAGCATTGTGTAGTTTTAAGAAATCACATATGTGATTGACACATATTGTAATAAACATTTTAAGTGCAGTTTGCACAACAATACAATCTTTTTCTTCTTCTTCTAAATTTTTTCTCTCATTTCAATTGTCTCGTTTTCATCTTTCGATTCTCTATGTAATGTAAAAACATTTTACAATCAATGAATAATTGTTTAACCTAAATAAATGATAAAGATCAAAAGGCGTTATCAATAAAAAAGAAATTGATTCAGGTAACTTTAAGATTTTAGTTTTTTCAACATCTAGGATAATAATTTTTCTTTAAAAAATTAAACTAATTACCCAACTATTAATTTGTTTGTACTTCCACTTTATTTATATTTAAATACAATTTATTTATAAAACTAGATTGATTTTCCTTTTAAAAAAATCACATTAAAGTTTAAACGTACTTATAAAAAGATAAAAAAGAAACCATGACAAGAAAAAGTGAAACTGTACAAATTAAACAAAAGAAGATTGAAATTAAGATCCACACAATAAACCAACTATGCAGATAAGGCAGCAAGATAGGCCACACCCTTGTGTTTGAGCCTCACATACACTGATACACACTCCATCACAAATATAAATTTCCCACTCTCTCCCTCTAAATTCCAAACATAGATACTATGGCCACCACCACAACCGCCGCCGTCACGTCACACTTTTTCGGCACCCATCTCAGCAAACCAGCCTCAAACACGGGAAGAATCCGCGCATTTTTCAACATCGGCTTCAAAAAAGCAGCACCAAAGAAAAAGGAAGTAAAGAAAGTGAGACAGCCCGAAAGTGACGGACTAGTGTGGTTTCCCGGTGCACAGCCACCGGAATGGCTCGACGGAACCATGATCGGGGATCGTGGATTTGATCCATTGGGATTTTCGAAGCCTGCCGAGTATCTGCAGTTTGACCTTGACTCGCTTGACCAGAACTTAGCTAAGAACCTTGCTGGTGACGTGATCAGGACTAGGGTGGAAGCTACAGAGGTGAAACCGACGCCGTTTCAGCCGTACTCAGAGGTTTTTGGGATTGAGAGGTTTCGTGAGTGTGAAGTTATTCATGGAAGGTGGGCCATGCTTGGTGCTCTTGGTGCTCTGGCTGTTGAAGCTTTCACTGGTGTAGCATGGCAAGATGCTGGAAAGGTAACTTTTTTTATTACCTTTTCTTTCTTTCTAGTTTCTACTAGTTGCTAGTGCTATGGTTAATCAGTACAGAGACACTCGACTTCACAGCGACACCTAACATAGATAATAATTTTGATGCATATATTTTTTTAGAGATGTCGGTGTTACATAGGTTAATTATGTGTATACAATAATTAAATTTAATCAGAGTAAAATAAAGTGTCACAACTCATTAACATCAATAGGATGGGATGAGACATTAGAATGTGAGGAAACTAGAACGCTTAAACTACGGGACAAGACAGTGGAATTTGTATTTAGATGTTGATGTTTTTTAATAATAGATTACGCCATATATGGACGATGTAATATGGTCCCATGTTATGTATGTGACTATGTGATAGTGTTGCAAATATTCCTGGTTAAGCTTGGTGTTTTAGTATGATAATATGGCTGAAAATGATCAAGACTTTTGAACCAACAACGATGAAGACAAGAATTCACATTATTATTTGATTTGAAGGAGATTGTGTCATACAAACAAAGCGTCACACAAGATAGTTCTACACAAATCCAAACTCAATTAGTTGAAGTCGATATTGCTAAGTTGGACGTCATCACCAGGGTTTGAACCCTAATATTTATGGCTGTGTATGTGAGTTTCTAGTGGTTATTACCACTGCGTCTATAAAAAAAAGAAAAACAAATTCTTGTTCCGTTAACTGCTATCTAATTATATTCAGGTGGAGCTGGTGGAAGGGCCATCCTACTTTGGATTTTCTCTTCCTTTTTCATTGACCACATTGATATGGATTGAAGTATTAGTAATTGGATACATCGAGTTTCAAAGGAATGCAGAGCTTGACCCAGAGAAAAGGTTATACCCAGGTGGAAAATTCTTTGATCCTCTTGGTTTGGCCAGTGACCCTGAAGAGAAAGAAAGACTTCAACTGGCAGAGATTAAGCATTCTCGCTTGGCCATGGTGGTTTTCCTTATCTTTGCAATTCAAGCTGCTGCTACTGGAAAAGGACCTATTGGTTTCATTGCTACCTTCAACCAGTGACATAATTCTATATATGAAATGAAACCTTTTTAGCTCAATATCTTCTCTATCATGTATAAGTCTCGTCAATATCACTCATTCCATGTTAAAATTTTAATTTTTTTCTTTCTATATCCGCCGAAATTAAGAACTTCTATGTATGTAATACCATAAATGACCCTATATGTATGTACTGTGTTTTATGCTTTTCTGTAGTACCATATTATAATATAGAGGAGTGCTATGCTTGCACCACAATGTTTTTATATTATAATATATGTATGTAATGTTGCGCATAGCAGCAATACATAGTTTACTTTTACACCCTTCTATAAAGAAACATTCACCGACCCTTTTCAAACCCTTTTCAAACAAGTTAATGTAATAGAGTAAACTTGTCACAAATCTTCGTCTTTGAATTTGGTCTTTGATTATTGAATTTAGGATTAAATATGTTTTTGGTCTTTATAAAGTTATTAAGTTTTGCTTTTTTGTCTCTATAAAAAAAATAAGGTGTTTTCATCCTTACAAAATAATTATGTATGTAGTTTTAGTCCTTACTTTTAAATCAACGTGTATTTTTGAATGATTATTTTGTAAATATATTAAGAACGTTATACAAAATGTTTCGAAAAAAAAAATTCAAAATTTAATTTATAAGTCGAAACTTTCATTACTTTTATCATTATTTTTTAAAATTAAAAAAATTTATATTTATTTTTTTTCATTTTAAAAAATTATATAATTTGATAAAGAATTTTATAGTAATTTGAATACGTTTAAAAAAATTATTCAAAAATTTAAAAGCTTATGAGTAATATAATAGTTTTCAAAATTTTTAAAAATAATAAGGATTAAAACTGCATCCATAAAATTTTTGTAGAGACTAAAATATATTTTTTTTTTATAAAAATTTAAAAATGAAATATGAGATATTTGTTGGAATCAAAAATATATTTAACCTTTAATTCTATATAATTTTTTTTCCATGTATGTTACTAAAGGATATTAACGGTGTGGAAGTTTTACCCCATACCCCTACACTTATACCTATACCCCTACATTAAAAAAATTTGGACCAAAATATCCTCGTATAAAAATTTATTATTTTTTAATTTTTTTAATATTTTTTTATTTGTTTACCGGAAGACTTTTTGGAAGTCTTCCGGTTCACATTTTTTTAGTATGTTTACCGGAAGACTTTTTGGAAGTCTTCCGGTAAATATTTTTTTTCGTTTGTTTACCGGAAGACTTTTTGGAAGTCTTCCGGTTCATGTTTTTTTTTAATTTGTAATTAATATTTAAGATTTATTAATTTTATATAAAGACCAATTTAGTAAATTTTTGGATATTATACTTAAAATATAAAAATTCTATAAATAGAGAATCATTTTCAGAATATTTTCTATTTACTATAATTATTAGAATACTAGGATTAAAATCATTTATTTTAAATGATCATAATAGTAGAATTTTCTCAAATATCTTATTAATCTTAAACATTAATAAATAAAATAAATTTAAATATAAGATATAAGTTTACATTATTCAATATATTTAATCAAATGAAAACATATGTGATAAATAAATAATGTATTTTAACTTAAAATGATCACAATAAGTTAACTTGCAAAATAATATAAGTAATAAATTAATAATGTATTTTATTTAAAATAATCACAATAATAAAATACGCAAATAATGTGTTTTATTTATAGGACTGATATAGTTTTATTGATTATTTAATTTTGAATACTACTATGAATATACTATTTAATCTATACTTTAGAACTCACATAATTATAAATATAAAAAATATTGTTTTATTACCCATATTTTTATTTAATTAAAAAAAATAAGAATATAAATTTATTATTTGTTTTTCATTTTTGTTTGATCTTTTTAATTATTTCACTTTATTTAATATTTTTAATAAAATAAATAATATATTTTATTTAAAGTAAGCACAGTATAGAATATGCAAAAATTTATAAATAAATAAAAAGATCAAACGAAAATATAGTAAATAGAAAATATTCTATTTATAGTAAATTGGTCATAGTATTCTAATAATTATAGTAAATAGTAATTTGATCTTTTTTTTATTTATAAATTTTTTGCATATTCTATACTGTGCTTACTTTAAATAAAATATATTATTTATTTTATTAAAAATATTAAATAAAGTGAAATAATTAAAAAGATCAAACAAAAATGAAAAACAAATAATAAATTTATATTCTTATTTTTTTTAATTAAATAAAAATATGGGTAATAAAACAATATTTTTTATATTTATAATTATGTGAGTTCTAAAGTATAGATTAAATACTATATTCATAGTAGTATTCAAAATTAAATAATCAATAAAACTATATCAGTCCTATAAATAAAACACATTATTTGCGTATTTTATTATTGTGATTATTTTAAATAAAATACATTATTAATTTATTACTTATATTATTTTGCAAGTTAACTTATTGTGATCATTTTAAGTTAAAATACATTATTTATTTATCACATATGTTTTCATTTGATTAAATATATTGAATAATGTAAACTTATATCTTATATTTAAATTTATTTTATTTATTAATGTTTAAGATTAATAAGATATTTGAGAAAATTCTACTATTATGATCATTTAAAATAAATGATTTTAATCCTAGTATTCTAATAATTATAGTAAATAGAAAATATTCTGAAAATGATTCTCTATTTATAGAATGTTTATATTTTAAGTATAATATTCAAAAATTTACTAAATTGGTCTTTATATAAAATTAATAAATCTTAAATATTAATTACAAATTAAAAAAAAAACATGAACCGGAAGACTTCCAAAAAGTCTTCCGGTAAACAAACGAAAAAAAATATTTACCGGAAGACTTCCAAAAAGTCTTCCGGTAAACATACTAAAAAAATGTGAACCGGAAGACTTCCAAAAAGTCTTCCGGTAAACAAATAAAAAAATATTAAAAAAATTAAAAAATAATAAATTTTTATACGAGGATATTTTGGTCCAAAATTTTTTAATGTAGGGGTATAGGTATAAGTGTAGGGGTATGGGGTAAAACTTCCTGTTTGAAAATGTGCTACTACAAGTCCACAACCATTTTAATTGTCAACATTACGCTTAATGAGCATGTCAACACCGTTAGGAAGTTTTACCCCATACCCCTACACTTATACCTATACCCCTACATTAAAAAATTTTGGACCAAAATATCCTCGTATAAAAATTTATTATTTTTTAATTTTTTTAATATTTTTTTATTTGTTTACCGGAAGACTTTTTGGAAGTCTTCCGGTTCACATTTTTTTAGTATGTTTACCGGAAGACTTTTTGGAAGTCTTCCGGTAAATATTTTTTTTCGTTTGTTTACCGGAAGACTTTTTGGAAGTCTTCCGGTTCATGTTTTTTTTTTAATTTGTAATTAATATTTAAGATTTATTAATTTTATATAAAGACCAATTTAGTAAATTTTTGAATATTATACTTAAAATATAAACATTCTATAAATAGAGAATCATTTTCAGAATATTTTCTATTTACTATAATTATTAGAATACTAGGATTAAAATCATTTATTTTAAATGATCATAATAGTAGAATTTTCTCAAATATCTTATTAATCTTAAACATTAATAAATAAAATAAATTTAAATATAAGATATAAGTTTACATTATTCAATATATTTAATCAAATGAAAACATATGTGATAAATAAATAATGTATTTTAACTTAAAATGATCACAATAAGTTAACTTGCAAAATAATATAAGTAATAAATTAATAATGTATTTTATTTAAAATAATCACAATAATAAAATACGCAAATAATGTGTTTTATTTATAGGACTGATATAGTTTTATTGATTATTTAATTTTGAATACTACTATGAATATAGTATTTAATCTATACTTTAGAACTCACATAATTATAAATATAAAAAATATTGTTTTATTACCCATATTTTTATTTAATTAAAAAAAATAAGAATATAAATTTATTATTTGTTTTTCATTTTTGTTTGATCTTTTTAATTATTTCACTTTATTTAATATTTTTAATAAAATAAATAATATATTTTATTTAAAGTAAGCACAGTATAGAATATGCAAAAAATTTATAAATAAAAAAAAGATCAAATTACTATTTACTATAATTATTAGAATACTATGACCAATTTACTATAAATAGAATATTTTCTATTTACTATATTTTCGTTTGATCTTTTTATTTATTTATAAATTTTTGCATATTCTATACTGTGCTTACTTTAAATAAAATATATTATTTATTTTATTAAAAATATTAAATAAAGTGAAATAATTAAAAAGATCAAACAAAAATGAAAAACAAATAATAAATTTATATTCTTATTTTTTTTAATTAAATAAAAATATGGGTAATAAAACAATATTTTTTATATTTATAATTATGTGAGTTCTAAAGTATAGATTAAATAGTATATTCATAGTAGTATTCAAAATTAAATAATCAATAAAACTATATCAGTCCTATAAATAAAACACATTATTTGCGTATTTTATTATTGTGATTATTTTAAATAAAATACATTATTAATTTATTACTTATATTATTTTGCAAGTTAACTTATTGTGATCATTTTAAGTTAAAATACATTATTTATTTATCACATATGTTTTCATTTGATTAAATATATTGAATAATGTAAACTTATATCTTATATTTAAATTTATTTTATTTATTAATGTTTAAGATTAATAAGATATTTGAGAAAATTCTACTATTATGATCATTTAAAATAAATGATTTTAATCCTAGTATTCTAATAATTATAGTAAATAGAAAATATTCTGAAAATGATTCTCTATTTATAGAATTTTTATATTTTAAGTATAATATCCAAAAATTTACTAAATTGGTCTTTATATAAAATTAATAAATCTTAAATATTAATTACAAATTAAAAAAAAACATGAACCGGAAGACTTCCAAAAAGTCTTCCGGTAAACAAACGAAAAAAA